AGGGAGGGAGGGAGGATGGGAGGGAGGGAGGGAGATGAGGGGTTGACAACCGGTTTACTTGGGTGTTGTCCGCCGATATGACGGAAGTGTCTGTTTGTCTCTTTTTGGTACCTGTATCGGTATTAAACACGGGTGTACAGTGGGCTAAAGTGGCCCCGTGTGAAACACGCTTGGGTGACATCTTGCATTACCCCGTGAAAGTACAGCAGGCCCAGGAGCAGCTGGAACGGTTATTTCTTCTTATTTCAGGGAGGGGAGCAATTTAGACGGGTGGGCAACTTCAATAATTTTTCTCCGAGGGGCGTTTTGTGCGACATTTGGCAACATGATGGTTCTAGGCTCTCAAGACCCCGCTGAATCCGAATCCGGATGTTGCCAAGCCGAATTTTGCCTCCTAAGGTCATAAATCCAAGATGGCGGCCAAAACAAGGGCTTAAATGACGATTTTCTTCAAGTGTTTCGATATTAGCCGGAGACGTGTCGTTTCCTACGTTTTTGGGGTCGCTGAACACGAATATAAGCACCGGAAGTCAATTCGGTTACCGGAAGTACCGCAATTCAAGATGGCGGCCATCCGGGGCCTAAATACAAAACCTATACTAGTTTGTGCATTGGCAAGTGTGGAGTATTGGCTTATACGTTTTTGGGGTCGCTGAACACGAATTTAAGCACCGGAAGTCGATTTGGTTACCGGAAGTACCGTAATTCAAGATGGCAGCCATCCGGGGCCTAAATACAAAACCTATGGAAGTCTGTTCATTGGCAAGTGCGGGGTATTGGCTCATACGTTTTTGGGGTCGCTGAACACGAATTTAAGCACCGGAAGTCGATTCGGTTACCGGAAGTACCGTAATTCAAGATGGCGGCCATTCGGGGCCTAAATACAAAACCTATAAAAGTTTGCGCATTGGCAAGTGCGGGGTATAGGCGCATACGTTTTTCTCGTCGACTAATCCGTAAATGAGCACTAGAAACCGATCCGGCAACCGGAAGTGCCGAAATACAAGATGGTTGCCCGTTAGGGCCTAAATACCGCACTCAAAAAAGTTGCCGCCGAACGGCGTGCGGGGCATGGCCACGGCCACATATGTTCTTGAGGTCGCTGTACACGAATATGGGTACAGAATGGTGATTGAAAACGTGTCAACACAGGTTCACTGAATTTTCTTGTGGCAAACCATTTAAAGTTTGGGGTTAGGCCGTTGGAGGGGTTCCGGCAATTTTTTTCCTTAATTCTTCCTTTTGCTTTTTTTTGTTTTTTGCCTTTTCCCTGGCTTTTGCCCGGTTAGTTCCGGCTTTCTTTTTCCGTTTTGCCTTTGCCCGTTTTTTGGCGCATCCTGATCTGCAGCCACAACTCAACATTTGCGTGCACGACTCAGGTGCTGCAGCTCCAGTGTGGAGTACCCTGGAGCGTAATTGTTTTCGTCAATGCGCCAGCCGTATTGGCATGGGTCGGGGAGCTCAGGCTTGGCAAAGAGAGGAGCTCTTGGTGTGTATCACCTGAACTCCAAATTACTCGATGGTATTTCATCTGGAGATCTGCAGGAGTCCTTTCTGAAACGGTGCGAGCAGTTCTTGGTGCTGCTGTGCAAAACCAAAGAGCTAACATCTGATGATGCCCGTCAGATGCTCTTTGGAAAAGTCACATGTCCTGAACTACTCCGACCGACGTCAGACGCTGCTCGACTTCACATCCTCCGGGCAGTCTCAGGCGCGTATTAAGGGGGGGGGGGGGCGAAGATAGCCGCCTAAAGGTAGGCAATTCGACCTACAAAACCCCTGTATGTAGGCAACTTTCGATGCACCGCCCCCCCTGTCCGCCCCCCCGTTAATACGCCCCTGGGCAGTCTACCGAGCTTTGGTCTGGATGAGTGCTCATGTAGACAAGCCTGAGCTCCCCGACCCATGTTGAACCTGTGTTGACACGTTTTTAATCACCATTCTGTACCCATATTCGTGTTCAGCGACCTCAAGAACATATGTGGCCGTGGCCATGCCCCGCACGCCGTTATGCGGCAATTTTTTTAAGTGCGTTATTTAGGCCCTAACGGGCATAGCCATCTTGTATTTCTGCACTTCCGGTTGCTGGACTGGTTTCTGGTGCTCATTTTCGGATTAGTCGACCAGAAAAACGTATGCGCCGATACCCCGCACTTGCCCATGCACAAACTTTTATAGGTTTTGCTGTATTTAGGCCCCCGATGGCCGCCATCTTGAATTACGGTACTTCCGGAAACCAAATCGACTTCCAGTGCTTAAATTCGTGTTCAGTGACCCCAAAAACGTATGAGCAAATACCCAACACTTGCCAATGCACAAACTAGTATAGGTTTTGTATTTAGGCCCCGGATGGCCGCCATCTTGAATTGCGGTGCTTCCGGTCACCGAATCGACTTCCGGTGCTTATATTCGTGTTCAGCGACCCCAAAAACGTCGGAAACGACACGTCTCCGGCTAATATCGAAACACTTTAAGAAAATCATCATTTAAGCCCTTGTTTTGGCCGCCATCTTGGATTTATGACCTTAGGAGGCAAAATTCGGCTTGGCAACATCCGGATTCGGATTCAGCGGGGTC